GGAACTAGAAGGGAAGGGGAAGAGGAAGGGAATGGGGCGAAGGAGAAGCAGCAGCAGCGGGGACTCAGCTTCCAGCTGCCGGGACAATTCCCCACCAACTGGAAGCTGTGCCTATGCCACAGCCAGAGAGAGACTTGGGAGTGGGGGAGAGAAGCAGCAATGGCAAGAGCACAGCTAGAAGTTGCCTGGCCTCAGCACAGCTCCTCTCTGGTTAGCCCCAGCATGGGCATATGCAAAGCCCTTGGGCTTTGCAGGGTGGGCTTCAGGAGCTGGATCCAGCCCAGGGGCTGTATGCTGTTGACCCCTGCCTTAGGCACAGAGAGTCCAAACCGTTTAAGGCATTCTAGGTCAAAACCAGCACCTTGAATTGCACCCAGAAAGCTACTGAGAGCCAGTGAAAATGCTGGAGGACTGTGGAGATCCGCTCCTGTCAGAAGGCAGGCTGCTATATTATACACCAGCTGCAGCTTCCAGATGGTTTTCAAGGGCTCTGTGTATGGCACATTGCAGTAGTTTGCCCCTGATGTTATAAAGGCATGGATAGTGGTGCCAGATTCAAATCTAAAAGGGTCACAATCTTCTCCCTAATGGAGCTGGTGACAGGTGCTCCTAGCCATCACTACCACCTGAAGATACAGGAGCAGCACAGGGTCCAGGATTTCCCCAGGGTTGCAAACCTGAGTGATAAGGGAAGGCTGAAACCCATCAGTGATACATTTCATAGACATTAGGGCTGGAAGGGACCTCGGACAATCATCGAGTCCAGCCCCCCGCCCAAAGGGCAGGAAGTCAGCTGGGGTCATAGGATCCCAGCAAGATAAGCATCCAATTTGACCAAAGTCAAGCTGTCAGCCTCCACCATCACCATTGTCTTGTCTGATTTCAGTTGGCTTACCTGCATCTAATCCCCAACTGCAGCCAGGTGCTGGGAAAGGACTGAGATTGCAAGGCCAGGGTTAAAGGAGGGAGAGAGCTAGAGCTGGGGCACAGCATACTGATGGCACCTACCTCTGTGTTCATGGCAGAGAGTGAGTAGAGTGCACAATCATCTGTGTGTGTGCATGCATGTGTGTGTTCATGGCAGGAGGAAGAGTTTGTTTGTCGTTGTGTGTCTGTGTAGAGAGTGAGTGAGTAGAGTGCACGCCCGTCTGTGTGTGTCTGAGTGTGTGCATGTCTGTGAGTGTGTGCATATCTGTGTTCATGGCAGGGAGAGTATGTTTGTGTTTGTGTGTCCATGTGCAGAGAGTGAGTGAGTACAGTGTGTGCCCATCTGCATGTCTGGGTGTGTGTGCGTCTGCTTGTGTGCATGTGTCTGCATCTGTGTGTGTCTGTGTAAGTGTGCGTCTGTGTGGAGTGCAGCCCTGGCCAGTGACTCTCCCTGGCTTCCCACTGCCAGGCTCAGCCCCATGCGGGAGCTCGGAGTTTGGGAAGACTAGTGCTGCCACTGGTCCCAGGCAACACTGGCACTCTTGTGTCATCCCGCGTGCAGAGCACCCCTGGGAGGGCTGTAGAAGAGAGCCACTGGTCAGTGTTGTGCTCAGAGCCACTCTGTCACTGGCTCTCCCGCTGCCAGGCTGAGCTCCATGGGGCTCGTGGAGCCACTCGGAGCATAGCCCTGGCTCTTCCCCGCTCCCGCCACTGGGCTGTTTCGAAACTCAAAACATTTCTAGTGCCCTTATTTCATTTCAAAGCCTTTTGTTTTGTTTTGATTTCACTGTTTCAAGCTCAAAACACATCAAAACAGCTTCGAAACAAACATGCATCAAAATTGCATACAACCCTAATGGTCAGTGTCTGGTTAGAACTGCATAGAACATAACATTGACTAAGACTCAAGGATAAATAGAGACCAAAGTAAAGAAGACAAACATTACCTTTAGCAAGATGTCACCAACTTGAAGCCTCCCATCAAGATCAGTGATACTGCCTGGGCTGATGGCTTTTATTAGGAGAGCACCATTTCTGCCCCCTACCAGGGCAAATCCTAGGTTCCCATTTGCTGTTTTCTCCAACTCAATATTGATTATACCGTTCTACAATAAAGACAGGTCCAGTTCAAAATGGGATTAAGTTCAGTGACCATGTGAAATGGTGTAGTCATAACTGGGTATTTTCATGCACCTTTAACCCCAAAGAAGACCACCATTTTTCACAATCCTTACTAATTATATGAATTATAGGACAAAATCTTCTCTTGCACAGACCTGTAGGGCTTCTGGTGATTTAAATGGGAGTTATGCATATGTACCAAAGGGAAGATATTACATATATGCATACATAAAATTATTAAAAACAATTAAAGCTGCTTGAAGGGGGGGAAAACCCTCACAAAAGTCTTTAAAGCAAGGACTGCCTTTAACACATCAGATACACTACTTTCACTGAGAAATAAGTCCCATTCACCTCCTATTTGTAAAATTTCTCTTCTCCACTGCAAAAATAACCCAAAAATCTTGGCCTTAACAACTCTAGCATACATTTCTGTTTGTCATTTGTATGCTGTTGGGTTGTACAGTAAGTTTCTTTCCTAGGAAGAAACCTAAAAGCAGAGTTAAAGTTTAATGAATAAGTGTAATGCCATAGAAATATTTATACTTTATTCCTGAAAAAAATATTAATAATATATTGATCTTAAAACATCCTTGCTAATATTGAAACAATCAAATGCATTCCAAAAGGGCAAAATGTTGCTCTTCAGAAGAATTGTAATGATTGCAGTAATAAGATGCAGGATTACCCAGTTCTGGCAACTTCCTCAGATGAAAGTCAGTCATTCCAACTTCCCCTTTGGTTTGCTGGTCTGACTTTAATGAGAACTCCCAGAAGCTCTTTTTAATAGAGCACCAGCTGTATAAGACCAGCAACTACACTACAATAACACTTCATCCTCCAGCCAGGCAATTTCATTTCAGGGCCACTTTACAGGCCTGGTATTTTTCCACAAATAAAATAAATTGTAGTAAAATGCCAAGAGTTTCAAAATACTGTGTTTCTGTGTGATGATTTGGGGATGGGAGGCGGTATTAAGAAAACCTGACATTGTAGAAATCTATAATTTTGAAAATATCACCACTTTATTTTAATGTTAAAGCCATTTCATTTCAGACCAAAATGTGTCTAAAAAGCCAGTTTCTTTCACAAAATGTCCCTTCTAACTATCTCATAACAAAGTAAATAAATTGCAAGTTTCAAGAGATTCTTTTTGAGTTTCATTCTGAAAAGATTTCATATGCCTAGTTACATTTATTTTCTCCGAGTCTCCTGCTGTACTACATCTGTTAACCATGATGTAGTCCTTCTAAGTTAGGGCTTGAAACTGTGAGCTATTAAGGGGAGCTGGAGACAGTTACATCCCAAAGGGAGCTCCCAAGAGGACACTTACTATATCAGTCCTGCTTCTGTTACACAATTAATAACACAGTGATATTATTCATAGGAAAACAGCAGTGGAGGAGCCCAGCAACCCCCAAGCCAAAGAAAACTGAGGCAGTTCAGCACATAAACACTACCCTAGTACCTCAAGTTTGCTAAAGCAAAAATAAATGCATTCAGCATAACTGTAGAAAACCTCACTGCAAAAAATAAAATCTGAGTCAAACTCCTTTTGGCAAACAGACGGCTTGCTACTTGATAAAACAATGACTTACCTGGTCATTTGCTAATTCCAATGTACTTTGTTCAGCACAGCAACTATCTTCCTCTGAGTGTTTGGCTGAAAAAAGCAGGACACATTTTTTTTTAAAGTAGTAAGTTTTAGAGTATAACATTGGACATCACAATATTAGTAGAAACAATACAAATTGTCCTAGATTTCACACGCAAAAAATCCCACCAAACCCTTGACTCTGCTTGGTTTGTTTGTTCTGTTGCTCCTCTTCAGCTATTAACTGAACCTGTTTCTGGCATCTCCTAAATCCTTTTGCCTCTCAGATAACAGTTTCCCAGGCAAGGTTTAAAGCTTCATGCCCCATGATCAGAAATGTTAATTGGACAACAGGTAACATACAAGTGTTCTTTGATAGCCCAAGGGACGTAGTTCTGCTTACTAATAATTAATCTTTTTCATTTACTGCCAGAAGCACCTGTAGATTTTTTTTCTTTTAAAGAGATAGCACAAAACTTCACATTTCTCCATCAGGCTCTGTAAAGTGATATCCTTGCTGTGGACTGGGTAGATGTTGTTCTACAAAGCTCATGTTTTTATTTGAAAGAGTTACCTGTATCTCAGCAAGTGGCCCTAAAACAAAAACTGGTAGATTTACTATAACTGATAGGCCTCCTACTAAATTTCATGTGTGTGAGGGAATGTTACCTTGGGCCAAGATTAACAAACTAGGTAGCAGAGCTCCTGGATTGTGAATAATATCACTGTGTTATCCTGGATTGTAATCTCTAGCCTGAAGACTGACTGTCTGTGTTACTTTAGATGAGACTTAATATTCTTAAAATGTCCTTCATTTTTCCTAGTTGCACAATTCTTTCATAACTGACAGGGACATTTTGCAGTTTAATTACTGCAATTAATGTTATTTAAAATGATGGCAAAGATCGGATGATACAGTTAAAATTATCTGGATATGACTGTAGTCATGTTGGGTCAGTTTGCTAGGGGAATGAATAGTGTGTAGTTATGCCTGTGCATACAACAATGTATATTTCCTGGTTTTGTGGCTTTGAGTTACCAATAATTGTCCCTTAGCAATCATAACTAGTTTTCCCAAAATGCTTTTTATGTCTGAATTATATAAAACAATAAATGTTCTATTAGGTTAGCACAAGGACTCCCTCTAGTAGTTCCAATGTTATTTTATTTTTTATGTAACAATAGTAGCATATATAGAAAAGGATTACACCCTCAACGTCATTAATGCTCTGAAAAGAAATATATTATAGTTTTTAAAAATGTTTTTCTAACCATTTTGGATTATAAAAAGAACATGCAATGAAGGGGATGAATTTTATTGCACTTTTATATTAATAATAAATCTGTGCAAAGGATCAACAATAAATGGTAATTTGTTGGTTCTGAAAATGTCCTGAGAATAATCATCAAAAACTAATTTCTCAGTAATATTCATGAAATTTTGGTCCAGAAGTGACTATTTCAACACCTTCATCAATTAGGTTTCATTCAATTGGCCAGCAGAAATAAAACTACCTAACTTAGGTCTAGCCCACATTCAGGTCAAGCCTAAACTACAAAATGGTACAGCTTGGGTAGGAGTGTGGGAAAAAAATCCTCCCTAACCTCCTTAACCTCAATTTGCACCTCCTACATCTTGCACTAGTAAACCCCTAATAGGATAAACTAACGCTTATTTTTTGCACCCATTTAATTATGTAAAACCTTTGGCTTGACATGTTAAAAAGCAGGGAACTCCCTGATGATGAACAGAGAGAAAAAAACAGCCCAGAGGTCAATGAAAACTCCAGGTTGCAGATGCACAATACAATTACTGTGGGGCCAAAAGGTTGAGTATTACCACCTTAGACCATTGCCTATGACAGCTTATGCCTCTCTGAACCAGTTAGTCTCCAAGGTGTCACCCTGACCTGATTTCACATTTAATTGACAGCCCTACTCTCAATTATAATGTTAGTCCAATGAAAGATATCAAATAATACATAATACCTGTATTTCCTCTGGACCATCACAGCTCAGCAACACTACATCATTAAGATAGCCCCAGAGATGGCAGCCTCACCTACCATGTAGTATTGATTTGATTTGTCTAAGTTCACTGAGTCTATCACCTCCCCTCCCACTAAAGTGTTTTAAAACCTTAGGCTAAGGGTGGGCAAAATACAGGCCATGGGCTGGATCCAGCCAACCAGCTGATTGGATTCAGCCCACAGTTGCCCCCACAGTGTTCCACATGCCGCCTCCTTGCCTTCTACCCTGCTGGGAGCTGGAGCCAGAGCCCCATTCATTAGTGCAGGAGGTGCCTGGCTGAAGCTTTGCCCCTGCCCAGAGTCATGCAGGAGGGACAAGAGCAAAAGGAACAGCCACTGCTGGAGGTGGGGGTAGCTAAGCAGCATCAGGGCAGCAGCAGCAGCACCGGGAGCAGCCCTGTTGGTAAGCTGTATGTGCTGGCCAGAACCAAGGCCAATGGGCACAGGCAGGGTGTGTTGTGGGATGCCCTGGGCAGAAGCAGATGGGGTTTGGCCCCTACAGAGCACCACAGGGTAGCCATGGGCCATACCACCTGAGCAAGCTCTGCTGCATGTGTCCCCAGGGGTGTGCAGGGAGTGAGATGTGCCTCTGCCCAAGCCCCAGCCCTGCACATCCCTGTCCACAGAACTGGTGCTGTGCCTCAGCCCCAGCCCTGGCTCTGCATGGTCTCCACCCCATGATCCCACAGTCTTCATGGAGACTGGCCAGGAGCCACATTGGCAAGGCACATGGCTGGGTGAGTTGGGGAGCTGCCTCTGAAGCTGAATCTGGAGTCATGGGGTAATCACAGTGCAGGGCTGGGCCCCAAAGCAGAGCTGTGATCCACTCCCTGCATGCCTCTGCCCATGGAACCAGCACCTGTCACAGGGGTGTGCAGGCAGCAGAGCTTGGCTCTCCCCCAGGCTTTCACTGCTCTGCAATCTTGCCCCACAATCCTGACCTCACCCTCCCATCCTGCTCCTGAACACTGCTCCCCACCTGCCCACAGCCTCGTCCCACAAAGGGAATGTGTACCCTCATCCCACACTTGCCTTAGACTCATAGGTACCTATATACATGCTTAAGTCTGCCGGAGTGCTCCAATTAGAATGCTCCAAGATGCTGCAGCATCACATGTATTCAGTGTCCCACATTTCAAAATAGCAGTGGAGCCACTATAACTAAAACTTGTTGAATGAGCTTTAGACAAAGCACCCCATGGCCATTTTGAAATGTGGGACATTGAATACACGTGACGATGTGGCATTTTAATTAGAGCAGCTGTCTGGGAGCTGATTTAATTAAAACATTCCCCCCCCCACTCCCCCCCTTCACCTCAGAGTATGAGTATGGATACTCATTGCTTGCAAGCGGGGAAATATTACTCACTGACTGCCCATATGATATCATTTTGAAAACCTGTAATGGGTGCAGTTCATATTGTAATATGCATATAGTTCTCTATTTGTAGAAAATATTCAAAACAGCAATCTTGGTGAATTTTTTTGGAGACTGAAATATGTTCATCTAAAACTTTTATCCAATAATTATATAACAATCATACAAAGTCAAATTCTGGTCTTAGAGCATTCAAACATAGGTTAAACTCCTTGAATGAGCTATTTTCCTTCCACATAGTTCATGTATTGTCACTCATTTTGTAAACTACTGCTTAATTTACTCATACCGGGGCATGATTTCAATATAAATAATGCATAAGAAATTGCAAATTATTCATTACATTTTAAAAGTGCAATATATCAACACTTTATCCTGTTTCCAAATTCAGGCCTTGCTGTGTCCCATAAATAAAATATAATTACGATTACTTACTATTTTGCTGCTCTATGGGAACCACTGGATTGCCATTTCTGCAAAAAAAGGAAATGTTTGGACAATTAAGAACTCCATGATTTGAAAGCAGGTATGAAAATGATATTTTTAAAAAAGGCTATAGCTCCATGTATTATTATATTTCTGTAATTTTGTTATTTTTAAAGTTATATTTTTATACTTAGGGCACTCAGCATCTAAAACCCCTCAGAAACCTTAGGAAGGGCACTTGATGCTCAAAAGTTGGTCAAATACCTCTCCCTACTACACAGCTGATCTAGTAAAAGATCACTAACATCCTCGCTTATTAATAAATGTAAATCCTTATTCTGCACTTGTACCACAGTAGAACATTACAACACTAGAACCTGTTATACCATTGATTCCAATATGGGACTTCTAGACAGTACATATTAAGTATTTTGCTGAATCCTACCTAAGTTGCCCATCTGAAAATAGAAATAATGACCTCTCATTTCATTTACCATTCGTCTAGCTTGTCTGTTCAGATTGTAAACTCTTAGGCTAGGAACAGAAATTATACATAAACCAGTATAAGTGATTAGAAACTGATTCAGATCTGTAACACAACAGAAGTTCAGTACACATAAACCACTTTCAAAATGGCAAAACCTGGTTTAAGATAAACCTGGATGGATGTAGTATCAGACATAACTGATTTAGGTTAAATCACCTTATTGAACTTTTGTCCCAGATCCCCTCCAGATTCAAGTTAACTCACAATCCCCCAGTATCCCAGGATGCTTTGCACCTCCCCCGCAACCTGCCTCCCTTGCAGAGTGGGTGGACTAGTCCCAGCTGTGCCCCCCAGCTTTCTGGCCTGAGTCACCACAGGCATGTGGCTGCATTTCCGGAGTGAATGTCTGTTCACTTGCTTACTGGTTCAATCTACAGAGCTTAGACTAACCTGTGAAGAAAAGATTGAATTAATTCAGCCTTAGGCTTTTTGACTGTCTGTACTTAGCCCTAAGATCAGGAATTATCTCCTATTATGTGAGGCTCCAGCTCCTAATAGCTGCTACTATAACATAGTGAATAAATAACAAATTATCCAACCTTCATTAAAATCCTTTCAGTCATGCTGTAACCAGTGCTCTATTGTTAGCTTTAGTTATGGAGTAAAACTATCTAACCAGCTTTAATTATGAAGTGCAAACTTGGTTTATATTATTTGGCTTTCTACCTGACATCATTAGGAGCTGTTTCTCTGCAGCAAGCCAGGGCCTGTTTATCAGATTGTGTAGCAAAACAATTCCAAAATACTATCAAGACCTAATGAGAGAAGCCGCTAACTGCAAATAATTGATCTACATTATGGATTGGCTTTCTGGTTGAGAAAAATATAACCAAGTTTGGCTATTTTAAGTTACATGAGTTCTTAGACAAAGGGAAATCATTTCCTATAACTGGATGTCAGAAAGTACAACACAGTTTGGAGCAAATCCCCATGACAGGGGAATGAAACAGAGGCATGAAAGGAAGATTGTAAAACCCTGATCTGCCTCACTATTGACATAGCCACACTTACGCACTGACAAAGAGATTGCCTGTTATCATCAGTGTCATCTGGCTGCAAAGAGCATTGCCCACACCATCTGCAGACCTTAGACTGACCTCTGAGCAGGACTGTCTTCTTCAGTGAGGAAACCTTGTTCATGCATTGCACATATAGCTTGATATTGCAAATGCCTTGAAGTGAGTCAGAGATTTGTATTTCAATTAAGGTAGTAGCAGCAGTGATATAACCAGAGATGGGGGAACCAGAGGGTTATAAAGGCAGGTCTTAGTAAGCTAATAAAGAAGATGTTCTTTTTAGTTACATTTTACATGGGCCTGAATCATCTAAATCCCAAATACAAATTACCCAGGATTCTGAGAATGCAAACTGCAGGGTTCACTATCACTGCCTTAAGGCTATAATAATTACTTTATATTACCAGTGTCCTACTGCAAGTTGGCATGTTGGATTTTCCCACTCACTTGTGGGGTTATTTAATGGTTAGCCTTGGATGTGCTCATGTATGCTTCAGATGATGTAGTAAGCTGCCTGATTAATTCACAGCTTTGTCCTATCCATTATTCCTCTACTGCGCTGCAGCAGACTATGCCTCATGGTCATCAAACATGGTTAACATGTCCCTGAAAACCGGATATTAGGAACAGAAAGCTTGTCACTGACTCCCTGCTGTACTTTACGGCTGAGGTGCCTCCCTGGCCAAATTTATCTTTATAAAACAGTTTGCATACAAAATATTGCAAAATATTCCATAGAGATTCAGTCATAAATGGAGATTTAAAGGTGAGTATTAGAGACCTATTTCATTTTTCTAAATGCTTTTTTGATAACACAGCATGCAACTATAAGAAGAAATGACTGAACTCAACACAGTTTGCTAGACCAGCTGCCCCAGGGCTCTGTTTTAAGTAACCTTTGTACTCTTGGCATTTCAGGACTAATGGGGGCCTATTCAGCCCCTGGAACAACTTGCAGCACTCTCAGGATTACTCTAAACTTTGCTGGATTGTTAAGAGGCCCTGGAGGCTGTTACACCAGCTCTGAGTAGATGATACACACTGCAATTCATTATGCCCTTTAGTGGGCAGGGTAGGATTGGGTAGCAGAGAGTCAATTATAACATCTTTAACCCATCTGAAGATTTCATTGAACCTTATATCACCATTTTATGACACATCAGACATGGCAGTAGTAATACAGGTATATTAGACATGTCATGACATAAAATTAAAAATACAATTCAAAATTAGCTGAAAGAAAACTTCAGCACAATGAAAAAAATTATAATATTTTCCTCATGGAAAAATTTGTCAAAATTGGTACAGTTTGGAAAAAATATGGTTTTATGCAAATAATTTTTCCTGATTAAATTTTGTTTTGGGAAAAGTATTCTACCCAGCTCTGTCTGTCTAACAATCAAGTATACTTATGTTCACGTATCATTGCTTATCGTATCAATGACTTACCTCTAATGTCATAATCCCACCACCCAGCAGGGAGCAACTGAATAGTGGAGGAGGAGAAAGAGGGAAGCTGAAACATAAAAAGGGCAAAAGAAAGAAGCGGATAGGCAATGGGAGCTCCACCTTCCTCTAACCTGCAAAAACATCTTTAAAATAAACACCAAAAGTCAGATTTACCTTGTTGCTTTGATGTGGACGTACTGGCTTGCAGCTTCAATTGCTCTTATAGCTTCATCCAAGTTGATGCCCTCAGTCCGCAACCCACAAATGTAGAGAATCTGGTCGTGTGGTTGCAGACTGCCTTCTATACTGGCAGGAGAACCAGGTACTATCTCAAGAACATAGATAGCATGTAATTTGCTTCCAGCTCCTCCTGTCAACTTCAAACCTGGAATAATTCAAATCAGTACATTTTGGTGTGGTGTACTCTGAATTTTCATTAGCAGTGTTGTCTAGTCTAGTGGAACATACTCCCAAAGGAGGAAAGGGTAATTAAAAACTAGACTTGATAGGATTTTCCTGTATGGTCCCCCTGGGGCACCCTATGAACTTGAAGTTAGGCAAAGTAGAAGGCTTGGGAGCAGCCCCAAGCAGCTTGAAGCAGACCTGAGTCCCAACCCACACAGACAGTCACTTGAACAGGGCAATCTGTCTATCTCAAGTACTTATACAATTCTTGTCATCTGAGCATCCAATCACTTCACCATTTTCGTATTTATCCTCCCAGCCACTGGTGAGGTAAAGCTGTGCTATTATCCCCATTTTACAGATGAGAAACTGAGGCACAGAAACTAGTGATATGCTCACGGTCACAAAGAGAATCTGTAATGAAACAGGAAACTTGACACAGGTCTTCTAAGTCAAAGGCTAGTGCCCTGACCACTGGATGGATACTTTTTATCTCAGATAAGAGAAATCAGTTTTTGGAGTCTTAATGTTGCTTCATGCATCTCCCCTGATAGTAGATAAACCACTACACTCCAAAGCCATTCTGAAGGGTAGCACTGAAGTTGCCCAGGTAATAGTAACCTCTTACCACCAACAAAAAGGGCTATTTTTTTCTGTATCACGCACCTAATTGTCCATTGTCACCTTTTGTGAGTATAATTTCAGGAATATCATCCACTGTGACCGAGGGATAGAGGTCATTGTTACCCCGTCCAACCACCAGGCTCAGATTGCAAGGACAGCTCTGTAGCAGTTTCAGGGCTTCATTGCATGGTAACACTGTGACATCAATTCCATTCACCTAATGACAAAAAATTAAAATGATGCCCTGGATCTTATTAACTGATAAAACATTTCTTCATTTACACAGCTCAGTAAATACAAATTTCAGGAAGTTCCCATTCTGGTACGATTGACTTATAATATTCATGGCAGTGAATGTTTCAGTTAAGGCTACAAAGAAGTTTCTGTTTTGACATTTTATTTTCATGAATACACAACTTTCTGAAAAACTCTCTTTCTGAACTTAAATTTTCCATGCATTTTGTCCAAATTTTCTCTTCATGATATATAAAGAGCTGAACATTTGTTTAGGGTCATCATCCTTTATTTTTTTAATATTAGACATGTCAGCTCTTTCTGATCTTATTTTTGCTGGAGTTCTTTTTGCATGACTGGCAACTTAGAAGACTAAAAAGATTACATGTGGAAACCTGAGCAACTGAGGAAGAAGAAAATTTTATTCTAAATATTTAAAATGCTTTGTATTTTTTTTCAAGTCAAACACTTGCAGTGAGGACTGATGTTAACAATTCAAACACTTTCAGCATCTTCCATTTCAGGACTAAAAAATTCCAGGCCTTCATTCTGCCAAAGATCATTATAAAGCAGCTTTATCTGTAAACATGAAAAGAAGTATATAAAGGACACAATTCCACCAGCCTTTGCTGACCACTTTTACCATTACAATAATGCAGTTTCTTTCATTTACTTAATACAGAAAAGGAATTGGCATTTTTGTTGACTTTCATTTCTGCTGGTCATGGTAGGTGTCTCATCCTACAAGCCCTTCTGCCTGTGACTAGTCTTACTAATGTTAGAGGAGAGATTTCATCAGGCTAGTAGCTCAGGGTTGCCAAACCAAGGCAATTTTTTTTACTGACAGTCTGAAAACTTTTTACTGAGATACGTTTTGCATAATATAAATATACCCTTCTGCCAAGGCCTAAACAAGGGCTTGTGTGAGAGGGGAGGCAAGAGCCCCCCCCCAACATGCCCCCAGTTCCCTCCCGATGAGCCCCGATACTTGCCACAGGGGAGAAGACAAGCGGCAGCTGCAGGGAAACACTGATGCAGGCTCAGCAGTTTCAGAGCTGCCTGAGCCTGCGAATTGGCGAGCCCCAGAGGCGGGGCCTCGGAGAAGCGCAGACTGCTCAAAGAGCAGCTGGAAGAGGAGTCAGCTGGGCAGGGGGAGAAGCACTGCACGCCAGCCGGGAGACGCGGGTGGCAGAGCCAGGTGGCAGTAGCCCCGAGCATGGGGAAGGAGGCCCAAGCGTCAGCCAGGGAAGCCCAGCTGACGGACCAAGGAATTCAGGCTCTGGGAGCCAAGGATTTCTGGAGAACTGCAGCGGGGAGAAACGGTTCTCCATTACCAGTCCGAGCAGAGCCTCAACAGCGGCAGGGAGCTCAGGTACTGCAGTGGGGAAGGGCAACGAGCAACAGCTAAGCCCCATGGGCAGCCCAACAAAGAAGGCAGAGCAGGTGGCAGCTGCATCAGAGCCCTATGGAGAAGTGGCAAGTACCACCACATGGTGGGACCAGGAGTGATTAGCTCCTAGTCAGAGGGATCCTGGGAATCAGAATCCTAGGCGCCCATCGGCAGATGCCGAACATATTTTTTTAGTTGAGTATTATTCTAAGTTACCATTATCCCAGACTGGGGCAGGTTTAGTTTGCCCAAAAGGTGATCTGGAGACCAGGGATTGACCCGGGAAAGACTGATGGCCAGAAGGACCTGACACAGGTCCAGGCGGGTAACATGGATAAGAAGAGATCATTCCAAGGAAGACTGCAGGGAGCAGCATCTTCCCAGGCCATGGATGTGGTAAGGGTGGGGTAAAGGGGAGGTTTGGAGCCCCATGAAGAAAGACCAGGGTCAAGACCCCTTTTGGGACCACTGACAGGGACTGCCTCCCCATCAATCAACATCAAAGAAGTGGCAGGTGAGTAGGGGAAGCACCTGAAATCATCTAGGTGGCCCCAGGGTGCAGTCTCACCCTGATGTCACTAGGGAACAAGGCACTGACCAGAAAAGGACCAAGCCTTACAACACCTACCAGCGACAGCTTGGTTCAAAAAGTAGGGGTTAAATATTAACCATAGCAAAAAAATGTATCAGTAAAAAGTTTTCATATTATTACTAAAAAACATTAGGTTGGTAACCCTGTTTGACTGCAGCAATGGACACCATATTGCCTCCACACCCAGAGCCCACAACTGCACCCCATGCCATGCTGTCCCCCAGTCCACTCCACCACCCAACTTTACCTCCCTGGCGCAGCACAATCCCTGAAAGAAGAACTACTTTCTGCCTACCTGCAACCTAGCAGGCTTGCAGACAGCCAGTGGGATGCAGCAGTAGCACACGGCTGGGGGGAGGGACAAGGTTACAGAAGCTGCTGAGAGCTACAAGGCCCTGAGAGAATGCTTCCTGCATGATGCTGTGCTTCTGCTCAGACACCAGGTAGTGCTCCTCTGCTCTGTCTGTTCATCAACACTTGCCTCCACCTTCTTTCCCATGAGGGATCTTCAACCAAATTCCCAGTTACTTAGATTTTTCTGGACTGATCCTTTTTTATGAATTTTACAGAAAGGCATTTTTAGCTTCTCATTACAGGCTGTCAGTAAAAATTTGCAGGCAGTTGGCAATCCTGTAGTAGCTCCTCACATGAGTAAGTGTAAGGCAAACTGGTCTCCTCTAAGAATAAGGATGCCAAAGCAAAATGGCATTGATCGCCTAGCATTTTCACCCCCTTTTTTAAGCCAAGGGATTTCTGTACCATAATGATTCTGTCTCCTCTTCTCAGCCTTCCATCAGACAAGGCAGGATCATTCCGGATCTCATCAACATACAGGCAGTTGTCCAGTTTATTAAGAACCACTGTGAATCCATAACCATTGTTCTCAGACCTTATCAAAGTCACAGAGATCTGAGTTTCCTATCAAACGGAACATAAAATGTAATCAAGGCCTGAGTTTCTACTGCATTAACTTCCTTCTTCATGGTTTAGATATAAACTAGGGGCCCAGTCTTCGGCTACACTATACCAATTGTAGTTGGGGGATCTGCCCTTTGGGCTAAGTACAGGCAGCCAAAAAGCCCAAGGCTGAATTGATTCAGTCTTTGCAGGTTAGTCTAAGCTGCAGAGATTAAATTGGGAAACAACTGGACACTAGGGCTGTGCGAAATTTTGGCAGCTATTTCATTTCAGAGGTGTTTTGGGCCATTTCAGTGTCCGAAATACCAAATCTGAATCAAAATGGAAGGCTCTGAAACATCTCTGAAATGAATCGGAAGGCTCTGAAACGTTTCAGAAATGTTTCAGAGAATTTCAGAGTTTCAGAGCCGGGCTTGCAGGAAAACAAAAACTAAGAAGAAGGAGGGGACGAAGACTGCTCTGATATTGACATCTAGCTCCTGGTTCAATTCCCCAGCTCTCCAATCGCTTCGCCCAGCTCTCTGATCATTTCCTGAACTCTTTCCGGTGGGCACGGGCCCCCGATCTGCACACAGGGTTTCAGCTGAGGAATCAAACCAGGAGCTGGGGAGTTGAACAGGGGGCTGGGCAATTGAGCTGGGGGGTGGGCAATCCCTGCCACATGACCTGGCTCTGCAGGAAGCAGAGATCCATGCCAGGGTCATTTCACCGCCGCTGTCTGCCCTGCGCAGCCCCAGGTTGCCGGGGAAGTGCAGGGTGGGCAGCAGCGGCAAGACCCTGGCATGGATCTCTGCTCCCTGCAGAGCTCAGTCACACAGCAGGGACCAGCAGGCTTGCCTGCCACTCTGCACTGCTTCCCTGCCCCGCAACACAGCATGACAGGGATCAAAGATCCATGCAGGGGTCTCCTCCCCTATATGGAGAGCAGCAGCCCTCCCTCTCCCCTGGACAAGCCATCCATGGCCCCATCCTGCTCCCTGATGGGGCTTCAAGCCCCCAGCCTTGCCCGGCTGGCTAGGACTGGGCAAAGCTTCCCTTACAGCAAGTTCGAAACAAATTGGGAGGAGATTCAGCCAAAATGAAACAGGACAGTTATCTGAAACACCAAAAAGAATTACTGTTCTCTAAACTGGCTGAATCTGAAACCGAATCAAAACACAGTTGTTTCGCACAGTCCTACTGGACTCACATTTACTTTTGATTCAGGAAATGCAGACACATGCTTGCAGTGGCTCATGCCAAAAGCCGGGGGTGTTAAAGCATGGTTCTCTGGCACACCCAGCATGGGTTGTGTGTTCACTTCTTCCTGCTGCCCCTGAGGTCTCTGGGATTTGCAGTCCAGACTCACAGCAACAGGGCTCTGCAGGGTTGCTAATCATTTCCTCTTCCTGCTTCCAGGCAAAGGCAGGGGCTGCTTCCAGGTGCCTCCAGGATTTGTAGTCCATAGTCACAGCCAGCAGTAAGTTTAAGTAGGGGAAGGGGTGTTTAACACCCCTCCCTGGCCCCAGACCCCTGCCAGGGTTTGCCTGGGGGAGAGCAGTCAGAGGAGGTAGGAAGAAAGACAACTCCTTGGGCACAGACTGGGGTCTGCCTCCCAAAAACATGTTAGGTTTCCCAGACTGGTAAGAGAATAGATGGGGAAATGAAACTAAAATAATGTGGTGTGGGTTGATTAGAGCAACACTAACAAGTTCCTCTTTAAAAACAGTATTATCCAGCTCCCTTTCCTCCCCGTTTCAGTGGCAGACCAACTGCATACCATGGTCAGTCACTTACCCAAGTATAGTCTTCCTCCTCCTCTTCTCCCTCCAATTCATCCATATCCTCCCATTCATTGTCACTGTTGCTTGGTTTTCTAACAGGCGAGGAGACTGATAGTCTGCTATGTGCCCAGGGTTGCGGGGTGGCTATAGCTGGAGAAGCTGTTTCAGAATTTCCACCACATGAGAGCGAGGTCAGAGATGTTGAGCTGATGGCGAGATATTCCTCGTCAACAGGGGCAAGAGAGAGAATTTCAGGCATGCAATACATGCTCAATAGGTCATCATCACTCCTGTCAAACACAGGGCTGGAAAATAAAAACCCATATGACTGCAGGACAGGGCTTGTCTTCTAGATGCTTCACTGCTGGGGCATTGGGACCTCTACTGCATACAAAGTATCTCAGATTTAACAAAGGTGAAATGTATTGGACTAAACTCTGGCAATAGTACCATTCTTATTTTTTAAAAATCACCAATTTGTTGAGCTAGGTGAAAATATATATATATATATTTTTAAGACTTCCAATAGAAAACTATTTTATTCCAAAATTTTTGCACTGAATTTTCCTTGTTTTTAACTAGTAGATTTCTGTTAATTGGGAAAAAGCATTTGAATCAGCCTGTTTTGATTACTCTGCCTGTATTATTATAAATTTCTTCATATGCCATGAACAATGAATAACAATTAGTTTAACACCAGGGTGCAAATTTTCACTAAAATGGCTCTTTGGTTTTCATATCCACTGTCTCCTTATTTCAAAAAGAATGCCTCACACATCCCTCATCTCTGTGATTCTTTCCATGGCAACCACAGTTCAGATCACAAACACCTATATTAAAGAGACAATAATTGCTCCATAGTCAAGTCATAACTAATTTTCCATTGTAAGTCTGATCTTGACCTTCTCTCTATATTCCATTTAGTTAAATAAAATATGTTGTACTTGAAAGTTGACATGTGCAATCCTTGATGGGAGGAAGGCTTGAAAAATTAGTTTGGTTATTTCAGTGGCAGGAGCTGAGGCTCAGTTTTTAATGGCAACCCTGAATCAGGATTTTGGAGCCTATCTTTAGCCCAGGGGCGGGCAATTATTTTGGGCAGAGGGCCGCTTACTGAGTTCTGGCAAGCCGTCAAGGGCCACATGACAGGGAGCCCAGGGCAGATAAATATTAATTTTCTAAATTTTTTAGGGGCCCCGTGGGCCAGATAGAATGGCCTGGCAGGCCGTACCTGGCTCTCGGGCTACGTTTTGCCCGCCCCTGCTTTAGCCTCTGCTTTTGAAAACCCCAACCGCAGTTCTTAGTGCACTCCTCTGATTGGATTGCACTGATGTGCGTGGACATGTGCACATGCATGTATGTGTGTGTGAGTGATCTAATCTCATTTTTCATGGTAGGATACAGCAGAACTTAGTCTAGCAAATTGCTTAATGCTGTGGCCCAACTCCACCAAAGCACCAAATACATGCTCAGCTTTAAGCAGTGAATAGTCCTCCTGAAGTCCATGACTTGACTCCCTTACTTAAAATCAAGTATGTGTTTAATTTTCTTTGCTAGGTCAAATCCATACATCTTGTGACTGCACCTACCACCAAGGAAATACTGCAAATACTGTTGCGCTTTGTCAATTTTTGCATATATAACATGGCTTTTAAAAGGTTTTATTTACAAAAACCCTAGTTTTATATCAGATATTTATTATTAAGGTGTCACAAAATTTCCCCCAACTTTGATTAGACCAATATGTAACTACCATGCTAATGCAAGTGTGTAAACACAATTAAAAGAATCATAAGTCACAGTCATTTAATATTTTGAGCCATAGAACCTATGAGCTGAAGGCTGTTTGAGATATTGTCTGTGGCTAGAAAGAAAAAATTAAAATAGCATAGCAAAATAGGATCCTATCCAGATAACTATTACTCATATTTTTAAGCCATCCTACACAGTACCAAGATTTGTTCATGCACGATTTAACACTGGCTCTGCATCTCGAGTAGAGCCAAGGAGGTGATCCTCCCCCTCTATGCGACGCTGGTCAGGCCACAGCTGGGGTATTGTGTCCAGTTCTGTGCGCCACATTTCAAGAGGGATGTGGACAACATGGAGAGGGTCCAGAGGAGGGCCACCCGCATGATCCGGGGACAACAGGGCAGACCCTACAGTGAGAGACTGCGGGACCTGAACCTATTCAGCCTCCACAAGAGAAGGCTG